CTACCACCCCTCCAACGCCACCGCCGACATCGCCTTCCGCTGCCCGCAGTCGTCCTCCGGCTGGGTAGCGTGGGCCCTCAACCCCTCCTCCTCCGGCATGCAAGGCGCGGAGGCCCTCATCGCCTTTCCCAAAGCCTCCTCCTCCGCCCTGACCGTGTTCACCACAAAGCTGGACAGCTACACGCCAGCTATCAAGAACGAGTCCTTGAGTTTCCCCGTTTACAGGAGGGAGGCCGAGTACGGGGCTGGGATGATGACGATATACGCGAGCGTCCAGTTACCGAAGAATAGGACGAGGGTGAACCAGGATGTGGCAGGCGGGGACGGCGTTTGATAGTAACGGTGTTCCGGCGGGGCATGCTACCAGTGGGACAATGTTCTGTCGGCGGGGAGTTTGGACCTGTTTCTGGTGATGCGGCGGGGCTCTCGGACCATCGAGGCAACGCCGGAGAAATGTAAGTTTAGAGAAAGTACATTCCGTTTTCTTTCTTTTTTTAAAAAAGTTACCAAGAAAAAGTTACCAATACTTACAGCAACCTTATAGTTCAAAATATTTCAGATAATTAATACTCTCGTCACCACCACCAGCAGCAGCAGCACCACCATAACAGTCTTCCCTTACTAACCAAATTAAATTCGTGTTATGCCAGACCCATGGGATCCTAAACGCTATAAGCTGGGGAATTCTGTTACCTATTGGAGCCATCATTGCCAGGTATCTGAAGGCGTTCAAGTCAGCTGATCCTGCTTGGTTTTACCTCCATGTTGCTTGCCAGAGCTCAGCATATATTGTTGGGGTTGCTGGATGGGGAACTGGCCTTAAGCTCGGAAGTGAATCTGCCGGAGTCACTTACTACCCTCACCGAAATATCGGGATTACCCTCTTCTGTCTTGCTACTCTGCAGGTATTTCTAGTGCTCCCTCTATTTTTCAGATTAACACAAATATCTTAAAATTTTTCACACACGATCTCTAGAAACTTAGAACGTTGAGAAGTTGATTATGTTTGCTACAGAAAATTTCATTGATGACAAGGATCGTAACTAATGCAATAACCACAGCAAAGACTTAACCTGAAATCTTTGCGATCAGCTACATGAATCCTATTCTTCCATTGAGTTCTGTTAAGGGTTATCTCATTTACTAAGTTAATCATTATCATATTGTTTTTCTCCAACCAAAGTTCTCTTAGACCTATCTCCAATTCTCATCTCTCGAATAATTATAATCGTATCACTTCTCTTAATTGGTGCATTTAGTGACCTCTGTTCTGATCAGGATTGCTGAAGTGAAGAACATAGAACTAGAGAGACAATTTCAATTTCAATGTCCTTCCTCTTCGTTCCGGTTTGATAGATAATGTCAATTCATACATTTTTTATGCTCCTGACCCAAGTAGTTGTAGTATTTACTATTTTACCAAACACCCATTAACGTATCCTAAAATTAGGATGTTAGATATGCAACATCATGTCACATTTCATAAATTGATATTAACATCTCATCTCTGCAACCTTCAAATTACTTTAGTTCGTATTTCAGGCAAATTCCTACCAGACATCACTACGTTATTATTTATGAATATAACGGAAGTATTTGGTCATATCCTTAGGTGTTTGCATTGCTTCTGCGGCCAAACAAGGACCACAAATACCGATTCCATTGGAACATATACCACTATGCAGTTGGATACACAGTTATAATCCTGAGTGTCATCAACGTCTTCAAGGGTCTCGATATCTTGAAGCCCGAATCAGGGTGGAAGCATGCCTATATTGCCATTATCGCAACCCTTGGAGGCATTGCAGTACTTTTGGAAGCTATTACATGGCTTATTGTTCTGAAGAGGAAATCGAGGAGCAACGAGAAATCTCACCGTGGAGCCAATGGTACCAATGGTACCAATGGCTATGGTGTATAGGAGTTCAGAGAGGCTTGTGCTCTAGTGTGTCTTTCTTCTTGAGTTCAGGTTCTGTTATACATTCTTGTATTGAGGGAGAGATGTATGTTACATATTATTCTTTCTAGTGTTAGGCATATGTATGTTAGATCGCTCGCTAGCGCATCTTTGCTTGCCATTTTTCCGCTTTTATGTTTCTCCCTACTTTCTTGTGCCATGTATCGTGATGCTTCGTTGAGGATTTCCATTGTATATTCTTATCATATTTTGTTTAATTTTGATGGTATCTTGTGTTTAACAAATTACTGTTTCTTGTTGGTTTGCTTCAAAGGTTTTGCAAGATTCAAGCTGTGTATTAATCCTGAACATTGAAAACTTCCAACGTTGAAGAAAGAAAAATAAAAGAATAGACGGTCCATTTTTTTTTTTACTGTAGAAATTTTCAAGCATCACTTAGCAACGAAATACAGCAAGTTGAGTTGTGATGGATGTCATTCCTCAACTTTCCCCTCAGCGAGATTTGGGAAATCATAGTGAAAATTATCCTTATGATGGTGAGCAAGACCAAGAACCTTGTTCTCATCTCTAATAGACTAAAGAAATGGACAAGTGATTGAAAATCTGTGAGCTGTCTGCTGTTCAAGATGACTCTAATGTCACATAGATAGCTGTGTTTTTGTTTCTGAGCATTGCCTTATTATTATGTTAATAGTTGTTGTGTGTTTGTGCGTCCTTAACAAGTATGAGCTGTTCTTCTAGTTAATTAAATAAGGACTACGTTTGTCATTAAATACTAAACAAATGTAAGCTCTCTAATTAAGGTCTACGTTTGTCATTAAATACTAAACAAATGTAAGCTCAACTACCAGAAAAATCTGTCCTGGACACTTAATAATAAGATAAAAAAAAAAAGATAAGTTAAGTATTATTAACTACAAATAGACCACAGCAACCCCCCCCCCGCCCCCCCTACCCACCCAAAAAAAAAAAACCCATATGCAACTCTTACTAATTGTGAGATCACAACAACATCATCATTAGATTATAATCCTTAACTAAATGGTGAGATCATGAAAACATCACCAATAGTAGATTATCATGTTTAGGTAACCTACCCTCAGCATTTTAGTTTATTTGACTCCTTTTATAATCAAATTGCAAATCAATAAAAATGAAGTTAACCCTCGCCCCCTCCTACTTTTTTATCCTGCAATCCTTTAATTATCAAATTGCAAATCAATATAAATATAGCCTATTCTGAGTTGCAACTTCAAGGAGTAATCCATTCAGAGGAGAAGCAGAGGCAACCCAATCCTGAACTTTCAAACATGTTTAACATCTCAAAGAGTCCAGGAGAAGATAAGTGCGTATCTATGCAGCATAAGGCCATATAGAGGTTATTGAGGGGTGCAGCCTGAAAAAGGGAAGTGCTGATTTCAGACAGGACAGCGTAAGTCTTCACCTGCAACAACCAACCTCACCTACTCCATTGGAGTCTCACTTGCTACATCCCCCAATGAGCACAGTTGTCCCGTCCTACCGAAAATGACAAGCCAGATGCTACGCTTTGATTCAAGGACAAGTTTGGTTAATATTCCGGCAAAGCTTAGCTGGACAAATGAAAGTACTGTTCTAAAATTAGGTTAAAGGGATGGGCTCTAGATGACCAATATCTGACCAAAAATTGTATTGCCTAGTTCAAAGTAAGCACTTAGTTTCCACATGCACAACACTTGAGACTTGTCTATCACATGGTGCTCAACTAATAAATGGCAGGTCTTCAACTAATATCCTCTTTTTTTGTAGAAAAGGGGAAAAAAAAATCAGTACAACCATCAGCAGGGGATCCAATCATCAGTCTAGAAAATATGAACGTTACTTTATTATTAAGGACAAGAATGCCTTGTTATAGGTTTCAAATCAACATACATGCATATAGAAGAATCAGGTATACAGCACCATCTGCAGTTTAATAGGCAAATCTAGTAAAAGATCGGACCTTCAAGGTTGCTGAGTAATCCCTGACTCCCTTAATGCATCTGTAAATAAATCCTTCAGATGGACGTTCGAAGCTGCAACTCTCTGAGACATTATATCAAAATCTCCTCCACTCCTGATGAGAACAAATGGTCATTAGTTTCGAATAATTAAAGGATATTTACATATATGACGACGTAGTTTATGCCCTCTGTTTTTAACAATCGACTTACGGATCGAAAACAAGGGCTCCAGCTTCTTGAACAATCACAGCTCCACCAGCCACGTCCCTGACACCAGAGAAATGGAGCAAAATCAACAGTGATTTTTAATGTAATCATGGGAAATTGGGCATTAACAAACTGCGTAAGGCCATTATCACACAAACTTACCAAGGTCCCCCAAATCCAAGCTCATAAAAGAGATCGATCCTACCACATGCAATGCTGCAAAGGTTTAAAGCACAAGAACCACTCATTCTAAGGGATCTCACCTGATCATAGCAGACAAATAGACTTTAGCTCCAGTAAAGGGATTGTATAAGCTTAGAGCACTTTGAAGTTTACCTTGAATAATAGGCTGTTAATTTTGTTAGTTGTGGCATCTACAGTTGATTTATCACGCTTTGTTCCAACCTGTTCAAATATTCAGAAGTAGGGATTAAATGTGGCCAGATGACATTCTTATAGCTGTTAATTATTCCTAAGTATGTGCAGGGTAATGCATGTAAGAAGACTGGATGGTTGAAGACGAAACAACAGAGATAGCTTATTGGTGAATGGTTTTGATATCCCATTCATGCTATGGATGCCTTCAAATCTACGAATATATTCCTCTATAAAGAAGACTTCTGAGTAGACAAAAAATACATGGCCCCACTTTGATGCTGGTCTTAACTTGCATCAAGTCGCTTAGTAAGGATGAGTGCTAAGTACCATATGTGTTTGTGCGCGCATGAGCGCGTGTACGCCCCTTGCATCCCTTAGTAACAGGCGTAGACTTACTACATATGCAAGCATCTTTTCACACCTGACAATGAGTATTTCCATTTTAAATTTAGACAAGCAGTAAGGGCTGATTTTCCAAGTGATGCAGTAATCAAACTACAATGTGTGTCAAAGGCACATAAGGGAAATTAGATTCTAACAAAACATGTGTCCCACCCAACCTATGTAATCCCTAGTAACGGGGAGTGGAAAAAGAAGCAAGGAAAAATAAAAAGAAGAACAGGAGGAAAAAGATTAAGATTTTGGTCTCATGCCGAGATCAATGGCATCATGCCTAGATCAATAGATTCCCATCTAAATTAATGGGCTCATGCAAATAAGGTGCCACTTTCAAACATAGAGTTTCATACCTAAAATCAAATCAAACAATCCATCAAAATCATAATTCTTTTCCATAACATCTTCAGAATAACTATATTGAACAAAATGAAGTCTTTTATAAACATAAATCTTGATCAACAAAAAACTAATCTCTAACAAAAAGAAATATAATCATACCAAAATAAAAACTTTCCTAATAATTAGATTCTAAAAAGGTTCCTAATCAATTACAATTCATAACTGGTAATCAGTTAAGTCCACATGAAAGTTTCTAGTGAAACCAAAATTCTAATATTAAAAGAAACTCCGAATTAAAGTCGAGTTTTTCCTTTTTTAGTTTCCTTCATTTTTTTTCATGATTTTCCAAGAGAAAGTCATCCTACATCAAATCTCCCTAATTGTAAACCTCGACATCAAGTTTAAAATTGAAAAAACTCAACCTTGAGTTTGAAATTGGATAGCCTGATGGCTACTTTGAATCACTGTAATTGATAAAAGTTGACAGCATATTTGCTTTTGTTGAAGAGAAATCATTGAAGATTAGCCTGCATCTTCGCTTCGGTTTTGATACCAAACACTGGTGAAAAGAAAAAAGTATGGAAGAAGAAGAAACTATCATGATGAAATTTCCCCAACTCTGGATACAGTAAGGCTTACCACCAACAAAAATATCCTTCCTCCAAACAGAACAATTCATGCTTTGAACAGTGCCAGTCATGCATTTACCATCACCATAAGACCATTCAAAATTTCCTAGAAACTCTTTGTGGCGCGTTTACCAGTTTTACCATCCACATACTGTTTTGATCCTCTAATTCGTTAATTATCAATGACCACTGATCTAAATGGTGCAATATATTGTATAAACCCAAAAGATCTTAGGAAACGTTTACATTATTAGTATTGCTATGATTTGATCTAATCCTCATAAAATAAAGCTCTGATAAAGAGACCAACGACGTCAAATTAAGATAAAAAAAGTAAGAAATATATTCACACTTTAGTTATGAGCAGTGATAGAATGGTAGTTGGAACGACTCAGATGTACCTAAACAAACATGAAATAAATAAGTAAAAGATCAGCAGATGGCTGTTAGAAAGAGAAAATTGCCCTCAACAGAAATGACGGCAGAAAAAACGATTCATGTGACCTACTCCAAAAATTTGGGTTAAGGCTTTATAGTAAAAATAACATGTACTGAAGTGGCATAAATATGGCAAACATGGGAACCTGCAATACACGTACTATGAGCATAAAATCAAAAGACTTGTACTATTTGAAGAAACCATATTGTGAAGTTGTGAACTATCTTCATACCTCTGTCACGAGCAGGGACTTCACCAGCTCAGATTGCAATGATGCTAAAAAGAAAAAAAAAATTAAATCAAAAGGAAATTAAAGGTCAAAAAAATGCTAAAAGAATATTCCTCCAGTTGAACATTCTATCATGAAAATATTATACTGCAGACCAGAGCTATCTTACCTTTTATAGGATCTCCATTCAAGAAAGCACCTTGCCCTCGGACACCAGTGAAAAGCTACAAATCAGATTACAAATTTTTTTATTTTCTAACAACACTACATAAAACAGATTATGCATCTCATTTCAGAGATAAAACAATTAAAATTACTACTATGCAGATACATATAACAAACTTTGTAAATCTAAAGAGCCCTGAACAAATGATAATGTTTACAAGTTAGCAAAAAAAAATGTTGGAGTACATTGGACAGGTTTTTTTTCTCTGTATTAATTGAGTCTGGTTTGTGGTAGCTAATACAATGGTTAATCCAGCTTGTAAATCAGTTTGATTGTATAGAATCATAGCCTGTTGTTCTTAAGGCCAGAAATAAGTCAATTTGGTATTATGAGAGTTCTGATCCACACAACATAAAATAGAATAACCATATACAACTTCTGGCCCTTAATTTAAAATTTATTTAACAAAAATAATGGAGAAAGACTGAAACTACTTGGGTAACCTTGACTATAACTTAAACAAGATTGTGATTGAACAAAGAACAGGGTTACAGTTAACGTATAATTTGCAAAGTTGGCGATGTAAACATAGTATAGAAACATAGTTCACTTGCCCAGATTTCAGAAGAATAATTGAAAATCAGATATGCATAATGTAATGTAGAATTATAGAGTAAATTCCTGATACATGTGACATTATTTCCTTGATGTCAGAAAAGAATCTCTATAGAAAATTCTGTTACTAATCAACCAATCATAAAACACCAATGTGCAAATTCATTGACTAACAAGCAATTGCAAACCAAGTTTGCATGGAAACTGGATTAGTTTGTTTAGTTAGTGTAAGAAATTTAGCAAGCAACCATCAAAATCAAAAAGTATTTTCATGTAAGCTTCACATATATTCTGTTGTTAATTAATGTTGTTTACACCAAATGTTATTGCAACTTCTCAGGATCATTGTCATTGAAACGCGTCTTCTGAACCTATAGCTATTTGAAAATTTGAAATTTAAATATATTGCAATTTCTTTTATATCAGTGACACTATATGTTGAATTTTCTAGGCATGGTTGGTAATGTACTGTCCTGTCATACATAGTGGTGAATAAAGTGTTTTCCTAAATTTAACTTCGCAATTGAACCATTTTAGTGTTAGTCACTCGGCCTTAGAATTCTTCATATTAAGAATCTAAATTATGTGGGCTCTGTGTCTGTGATAACCAAAAAAAACTCAAGTAAACAAGGAAGAGAGACTCCGCACTAATCGGTTGGAGTTGGGTTTCATTTGTTGCACCATGTCTATAAACAAAAAAATAAAAAGAATGAAAGAAAATTGTGGAGAGAAATCCTTTTAAAAAAACCTATCTTTTGCTTTCTTTTCCCCTTCTTTGGTTTGTGCTTTCCTCCACCGCTCTCACATTCTTTCTTTCTCAATTCTTTCTCCTCTTCTTTTCCCTTCTTCAGGTTGCTCTTCTCTCTATACTCTCATCTTCTCTCTATTTCAAGCTCATTGTGTTGACAAGACCAGCTATTTGTGGGATCTTAGATCTGAGCTCAGAACTGAAAATAGATTAGGTATCATATTTGCTTTTTATTCTTGTTTTAAATTATCTAAAGAATGTAATAGCATCGAGAACTCCAAAACTTGTGACTTGAAGGTTTTGAGATTGTCATCTGAAACTTGTTTTTCCCTTCTGGCATATAACAAAAGCTCAGATAAAATTTTGAAAATATCGTGTTTTTTTCACTCCTGTAAACCGTTGACATCTCTTTATTGGAATAGATACTCTCGCATGGATCTGAATCGCGCAAAAAAATTAATAACCATATGCTTTTGCAAATCGAGTAGTCATATAAGTCCTCTGCCCTGTACCTGTATTCCTTTTCTAAATGCGCACAATGCATACAATCTAGAGGATCATGACTGTTTTGGTATAGCGACAGAAGTTTGGTGTTTTTCACTTGTGCTCTTCTTCACCTTTGTAAAGACTGCTATAATTTTGTGTACAAGAGAAGTTTTCCTGAACAATTTATTTATAGTATCTTCTTAGTTGTACCCTCGTTAGGAATTCTTTCGTCTTTTGATATGCAACTTAGTCAGGACTAGAGACAGTAGTCCTCTCCTGTCACAGGGAAATAAAATAAGAAAAAAAGCGTTCTATTATTTAAGCTGAAGTTAAGCTAATAATATTTATTTAATAATACATTTTTGAGGAGTATATAAGTTTAAAACCCAAAACTTAACAAATTGAGGAATTATTTCCTAATAGCTAAAGTTGGTCTCTATATAACAAGCCTCATAGTACTTAACATATCACTGAACACTGAAATACTACTTATGGGAAAAACAGAATCCTACACATTATTTATCCACACAATTTATCTGTTAAAGAAGGGAAAAGGGGGAAATAATAATAATAATAAAGCTGATCTTACATAGAGCAGGTTTTCTTTTTTCTTTGAAAAAAAAGCAAATATACAAGAATTTTTTAGTTGGAACTAAGAATAAATGTCTTTCTCTTTGTTCTGCTCATCAAAACATAGTGCTTCTGCTTTTACTGTAATTCTATCTACTAGTTACCATTTATTAGTATATGCGCTTCAGTTCTTATTATTTCAAAACCATAGCTTTTTAATTACAAACAGTGAAAATAAAATTATACATTTCAACATGGCAATTCTGTATGTGCTCATGAGTCATAACTACCTTTCATCTTCAACCTCAAGAAATTACAATTAGGCGAAGCTCTTATTAGTTAGAATATTGGATTACTTTTAATAAATCTGGGATTTACAATTAATGTCTATTTGTACTTCCAACATTTTTTTTCCAATTTTACATGAACTACGATTCTACATCACATATTTAAAATAGTGTCTGTCCAAATCATTAACGATTTTGTTTCCACGTCAAATGCAAGATTCCTAAACAGCAAACAATCAAAATGTTTGCAACTTTCTAGCCAAGTTGACAACCATTATGATAGATTTAATGAATTGTTGATGAATATCCTTTCTATCCAAATAACTTAAATTAAAAGGAGAAGTTAGTGATGTACATTATCTTTTGCACATTTTTATGAACAAATTTACGAGGACTGTAAGAGAATAAGATGTTAGAGCACACATAGACACACACCCAAGAAAAGAAAGTAGGAAACCAAATAAAAGAAAGAAGAAAATACCTCATTAAGTATTGGGTTGTATACAACACCAACTGTAGGTACCTTTCCAATTGTAAGACCAATCGATACACACACAAAGGGGTACCTAAAAGCAACTCAGTCGTATTAAGAAAAATCGTGGCCACATAGAACATAAAAAGAACAGAACAATTTAACATGGCATACTTCAGAATGAACAAATTCCATTTACCCGTGAACAAAGTTAGTTGTTCCATCAAGAGGGTCAACTATCCATGTAGGATGATCAGTCAGCTCAGAAGTGCCAAATGCTGCAGAAGTTTCTTCACCTATAAACTACAGGAACAAAATTACCCTGACAGTTCGGCACAGTGAGGCGTATAACTCAGATGGTAAAGAGTTCACCTTATGCTCAGGGTAGTGTTTCTTAAGGTGATTGAATATAAGATCTTCACATGCTTTATCCGTCTCCGTCACCAAATCAACCTGCATTCAATGTCATCATTATCTCTATAGAACAGCATATGGAGCAAAACAGCAAGAGCACTATTATAAATAGCGGTAAATAGCCCCGCAACAGCGGCGCTAATAGCATTAGCGGTCCCTTCCCGCTATGCTATCACCCAATAGCGATGACATATTGCGGAATATGCGCTTTCCATTCGCAAAAACGGTCAATAGTGTACCATAACGGTAAATAGTGGACGATTGCATGCGAAATCCGCTTTTTGACTGCTATTTATAAAAACAGTTTGAGGTTTATTTTTTTAAAATTAAACCCGACCCTTCACCATTTCATTCCACCGTCTCCTGTGATTTTCGGCATACTCCCGCCACCTCTCATAATCTCTAGCACCTGTCTCAGTACTTCCTCTCACCTCATTCGTCGTGAGCTCCTCTTAGGGCAGTCTTCTCACCGCTCAGCTCTTCTTCTCGAAGACGACAACTCTTTGACTCCTCCAGTCATCTTCGATATTACGTGATGGTTACTTGTCTATTTTATGTTTAGGGTCTCTTTAAATCATCAAATATGTACTTTTAGATTTTTTAGATTTTTCTTTAATCTTTCTCTTTTTAGTATTTATACATATATCTAAACTAGACCGCTATTTGACTTTGCGTTTTTTACCGCTATTTTGTCGCAATAGCCCCAAAAAGCCTTAGCGATGTCTTACCGCTACGCGACGCTATCCGCTATCGATAACCTTGAGCAAGAGTAAGACACAAATAGGTCTATATCTATTATTGTTCAAAGTTAACCCACCCAAATACATTTATTCAACTTGTAGACGTTGGACTAGAAACAGTGTAACTCGTGATATAATATTTAACTTTTACAATAGTGAGTTATTTTAGTAATAACAAACCAAAAACATACAAAGTGCCAAATTAAATTGTCTCGTCCCTTGTTGGAATTTGCTATACAAACAATAAAATTCTAAAAGGATTAAACATTTTTTTTTCCCCCTCCAAACTTTTAGTTTCTAACACCTTGTAAAGCAGAAGAAACCATAAAAAGATTATGATATTATTTAGAACTCACCTATTTAAACTTCGAACAGACTGCAATTAGGCTTGTAAAAGCCCCAGGACAAGGCATACTATTGACGTGTAATACACAAATGACAAATTGTGGATAAAACAATAATCGGAGTTTACATATGGTGTGAGTTTGAGTTCTTATCTATGCATGAATTTATATTTTTAGAATAGTTAACACTAAATAAACCAAATTTTGGAGATTAAGAAATAGTTTCAAATCATATGCAAAGCAACCACATCTAGTACGCTTATTTCCACCTCTTTAGTTATCTAACAGATTATAAAAATTCAACTAACTAAAAAATGAAAAACCATAAATTTCCAGCATCGATTCAAAAAATTCAACTTTATGTAACCTTCAAAGTAAGGCATGGAGAATAAATATCAAAGTGATATTAACCCAATTAAAACAATTAATAAATGCCAAAATCAAGAGTGCATAAACCAACCCTATAGCCTAATTAAATAATAGTTAAATATAAATAAAAAAATAAAAAATCAACATGCATCATTTCATCCTTTCCCTGCAGAATGGCAGATAATTCCTACCATCAGCGACAGTAAATTAGGAAAATCTTGAAAATTTCAGCCCACAATAAACAGAAGCAGACAACAGGAAGAGAATATTGACAGTTGATACTTCAAAACAGACTCAGGTGAAATTAATAATAACTAAACCCATGTTCCCTAAATTTTCTGTTCAACCAACAATGAAAATTCTCAAACAATAAAACCCATACTGCAACTTTAGTTCCTGACACTTCACACGAGTAGTTTCCTTTAAAAAATGCTTTGGTGATTATATCCCAATAAATCCGATTTCCCAAAAATTCTTACTTTTCCTAGAATATTTAAGATAAGAGGCTGCGAAAAGAAAAAGGATGATCAAAGAGACCTTACGCAGGTATTGCAGCACAGAACAAAGGATTTATTGACACTTCAAACGAAAATATCAACACACGCTATGCAAAAAAAAAGGTCTCACCCTTCGGCTATATTTGTTGCACGTTCTGATGATGGTTTCTTGAGACCTAAAGTCATGCACTGTATTCAAATCCAAATTTTCGAAACCTGTCTAATTGAAATACAAAAAGACCCAAATTTTCCCCTCCTTTCCTTTTCAACAAATGACAATGATAAATCCAAATGCTAATTATAATACTGTCCTCAGCTAAACCTCCACTTAGCTAATACTTGGCAGAGAAATATCACAATGCAGGCTACACAGGACTCCTGTAGTTAAGTCCTAGAGTAAATCATTATTTTCCAAACTTCAACTTCCCAATAACAATCTAAACTAAAAAATATAGTAATAGCAAGCCCTAAAAACCAATTTTAACTGTAATTTGAGTTTCCCTGTTCCATTATAAAGCAGAATTGGCAACAAAGAGACCAACATCACTCAAACAACAAAGAGTAAGAAATAACCTAAAAAGTTAAAGAAACTAGGAGAATCGAAGGTATCACCTGCCCTTTGTGCTCCACATTCTTCTTCTCGTGAAATCCTTTACGAATAATCTGCAACATCCAATTAAAACCCATAAAACTCAAAGCTTGAATACAAAATTCACAACATCAAATTAAAATCCAAGATTAGGGTTTCAAATAACCTCTCCGGCGCTTTTCGCAGCATCCACGGCGACGGCGAGGAACTCCGAAAGGGAACCTAATTATTACCACCAAAAAATTGCAAATCGACATCGAATCAAATAATTCCCTCAGCATTGACTCAGGATTTTTAATTTTCTAAAAAAGGAAAATGAGGTAAATTAAATTGGTAGAAGAGAGCTCGCGTACCGTTGTCAGCCATTGTCCGTGATTTTTTTCACGCTTGCTCGCTGCGAATGAGATCGATCGCGCTTTACTTTATAGGAGATTTTGTATTAAAGGTCCCCTACATTACATATAATTGCGATATAGGACCCATCTCATTTTATTTTTCCTCACTTTTATTTTTTGTTTCCTGGCATGAAATTGTTCAGGTTCAAATAATTTCTAGCTTTTAAAAGAGTCATTAATCTCGTATTAAAAAAAATTGATTGAATCTCTAATGACTGCTGCCAATATTTAACTCTTGTCACTTAGAGGGCATAATTGATGAATATGAAATGTTTTATTTCATGATTTGATATCAAGTTTATTTCAAAATACGATATCAATTATAAGATTTTTTTTTTTCTATTTAGTTTATTAATAGGCACTTTCTTGTGAAGGCATCAGTAAATTAGATTATTACAAAAATCCAACGATGCCAATGTTGTCTTAAAGATTTAGTACAAGGCAAATTCTTTTGGTCGCAACACATTATTTCACTGTGTCTGCTTTTAAATGAGCCATGCAGGCATAAAAGAACTTAAGAGGAGTACGCGACAGCCTACAGGGAACAGGCATAAACCACTACACATCCAGATTCACAGTATAAAGATTAGATATCCTTCAAAATAATTTTAATCTATCCGAACATTCCGCAGAAAGACAATATAAACAAAACATAAAGAACAAAAATTATACTGCAAACAAGCATATCCACAAAGCACATTAAGACCATCCACGCCACATTTTTCAAGAGGAATTATATACCCTGGCCATGTCATGGCAGTGGCATGGAACATGCTCTTTTTCGTGGCATATGCGCCAACACATCATTTTCATGCCAACCGTCGCAACGAACAAGGTTGAGCAAAGAAAATACGAAATGAGGAAACTTCTATTAGATCGGAAGTTTCTATAACGTCATTGTTTTCTTATGAGAGTACGATGGTGTATTGTGTACAAGTATCATGCCCGGAAAACGATTTACACATGTTCTATTCATTCAAGGGTTCTGCCAGCTAACTGCGCGGCTATTTTCATTCACAAATTGTGCCTTGCCTGCTTCAATCTGTGCGTCTTCTGCAGATTATAGAGAATGCAAACATGTGCGTCCACGCAGTAAGTAAACAGGGAGACAGATTACATTTTAGAAGCTGACGCGTATGCAGAAAATTTTTTCCACATAACCGAGAAAATGAACGTGCCAATGCTACTTGTAGAACAGAACACAAATGTACCTTGAACATATGAAATGCCTCTTTATGATTCCTGCAAATGAAGAAATCTCAGTTAATACACACCCAACCCTAACATGTAAGGCAGGTATCACATGTAAAATGCATCCACCACAAAGCAGAAAATGACTAAAATATGTTATAGTGAGCTTAACATCTCTTGCCCCTATCTCAAGCATGTTATAGTGAGCTCGAAGTTTATTCTTCATGACCATTAAGTCCTTAGAGGTGTTTTGGTGTCTTAAATGATGCTTACTTCACAACCGCGATTAGTGTAGTTGCTATGATTTGATTTTCTAAGCAACACTTCAAACATATGTTTTATTTTTCTCCAGTTAGCTTAACGATGTGAAACTCAGCATACGTACTGCTATCCTCCTAAGTATTCAATAGCATAGAAGAAACAACTATTTTCCCAAAAAAGGGCACAGCTTTGCTTGCCATTTGTTATACACTTCTCTTTTTTTCCCACTTTTTTGTGACGTGTATTATGATATCCTTCATTGAGGATTTCCACTGTATATTTTAGGAGAAATTTTTAAAACCAACCATTTTTAAAATTTAATAGGCAAAATCGACCTAAACTGAAAAATATTAGCAAAACCGACCCTTTTCAATTTCTGAGACGGTCGATTTTGCACAATAAAATTGAAAAATGGGCTGTTTTAAAAATTTCTCCTATATTTTATTATTTCTTGTTTAGTTTTTATGGTATATTGTGTTTCGGTTTAATCTTTCTTGTTCTCGTTGGTTGCTAAATAGATTCTGCAAGATTCAAGCTGTATCTTTTTCCAGGACCTTGGAAAGCTTCCAACGGTAAGGGGCTGTTTGGTTGTCTTTTTTAGAGGCTAAATCCCTGTCAAAACTAACAAAAACTGTCAGTTTTGACAGGAAATCACCCAAAAATGCCTCTAAAAAGACGTTTTTACAAGATTCCCTGCCAAAACTGACAGTTTTTGTCAGTTTTGACAGGGATTCAGCCTCTAAAAGAGGCAACCAAACAGCCCCTAAAGGATGATAAAAGAAAAGATGGTCCACTTTCTGGCCAAAGAATGTCAGCGCGTGTCATTTTCTGAGCAATCAGATATTGAGTTTTGATAGAAGTGTGGATGGCATTACTCATCTTTCCCCTAGGCCATATTTGGAAACTCATAGTGAAATTATTCTTATGATAGTAACAGAGACAAAGAAACATATCTCTAAATATAGACACAAGAAACGGGCAGGCGCTTGAAAACCTAAGTGAGGTTTCCTGTTCAAAATAACTGGAATCCCACACATAAAAACCATGCTCTTGTTCCTGACCGTTGTCTTATTTGTTATGTTACAAGTTGTGTTTGTGGATCTTAAAAATCTATGAGCTGCTGTCATGCCCGTTTTCCTGAATACATATACGACCACATGGCTCAGCCGACAACATATGTGTAAAGACCAAACTCCATTGCAATAAATATATCAAATCCTAGATATTACATCAGTATATAACAATATTCCTCATCACAACACATAAAATCACATGTAAACAACACGAATAGATGCAAAAACGACCAAGAAAGTATGTCATATAAACCAGATAAGATCTCAGAAATAACAACAAAGTCTCAACGGGCTCAAGACCTCAAAAATACTTCTCAGTTTGTATTCAAAGGATATTTACCAAGTGACACGGTCAACAAGGAAAGATACAAGATAACTAGGTACCAACGTTCCGAAGGCTATATCAACATCTGCAAAAAAAAGTAACCAAAATTGGTCCCTCAACGATTTTTAAACAGTCACCCTGCTCTGCAGCCGAATATGCAAAACTAGGGTTGTCAGTGAAATGGAGGCGGTATGCAATGCAACAGATAGGCATAATGCATAGATCATGCATAATTCATCAGAAACACAGAATCATACAAATTATATATCAAAAGTAAAGCTCATAGTAGTGTACATCTAACCTCAAGCATAATGATGGGCCAAAGAGTGCTAACTAATCTTCTTTTACTTCGTCTTATTCAATGGTGGAGCCAAAAATTTCTGGAAGAGGAGTCAACAGAATTTTTTATTAAACAAATAACACTTTCTTTTTCACGATTAATTAGTATTTAAACATCATTACATAACTTGATTTTCAAAAATCAAATTCAGATTAGAATATAGTGTTTACCAAACATCCACAAATGAATACCTCCAAATAAGTACCAATATTTCATAAAGGCATAAGATCCTATGTTAACACAATGAAGAAAAAAATTAGCCATAATATTACCTAGAAGTTCCATAAGGATTATTTGCATCAAAATCATCCAAATAAAAAACTGTTTATATACATCCCCATCAAAATTATCCACTTTAAACTTAACTGCATCTTAAGGTTTCTCTCCACATATTTCTCAATAAACATCCCATAAGCTGGAAGGGTTTGATTTTGATTCACATTTTGTCTGCAAGAGATCAGTTGGTTCACTGAACATGTTCCAAAAAAACGAATAGAAATTTTGAACGTGAAATCTAATAGCATCAAGAATCAAGACCAAGAAATAATCTTCAAATTTTGAAAGAAAAAATATAAAAAAAATACTTGTAAAACTTAAAGCACTGTCTTTTTTCTACAGACGTGTGCACATTAGGGGACTTAAACTTTTATTTTTTCATTACATTTTAAGGTAAGTTCTAGGATCTTATGTATTTACATTTGTAGACTACTCCTACATCTTACATATTTACATATTTTTAGGCTAAGCCATATGATTTTACATATAAACACATCATCCTGCTCTAGTAATTTTACTTTTCTGCAGGGTCCAAGACCCTTTTGGCCCCCATATGGCTCCCCCACTGGTCTTATTTAAAAATCTTCCACGGTAATGTGCGGAATACTTACAGCGCCCCGTATCGGTCCACATTTGACTCTCAATATGTGATACAGATGCTACACGTCTACACATGAGCTAACTTCATAACTCATTTAAATATTCCAACACATTCCTTAATATTATTTCCTCTTTATACTCCACGGTGATCATTTTATTAAGTTAACAACACATAATATCTTATTTACTAGATCCTGCCATCCTGGTTGTTTCAACACAAGGTCAATATCATTAATTGTATCTCACATACGCTAATACACTACCCCATACATTTTGAATTCCCTATGATAACGAATTCCATATTTGTGAATCTCCTACGTAGTCATGTAATGACTTGACATATGTTTGCATGTTTCTTTACATTTTCCAATTGTTACTCATTTATATCATTCATATTGTAACTCAATGCATTTCTCAAATTGTTACTCATGCCGAATCACAAGCCCCCTTTTACTAAGCATGTATCCCAAATGTGCAACAATCATTTAGTGTCAACGAGGATTCGCTTGACATTCACATATCTGGCTATCGGCATCAAGTATTGTCATATATTATGGTGCCCATGGTGGGTCTAGGTGGTAAGTAAGATGAAGGTCTACCAGCAGACCAAAGGTATAATCATCATGATTTACAAACTAGCATCATAAGTTAACAAGTCTAAAACTTTAGAAAGTTAATGACTTGAGAAATCATGAGATGATGCTAATGGACATGTATATATCGATAAATGCTATGCAAGTACATGATTAAAAGATAAACAAGTCTACTAAAGCTACTTAAAATGATGAATTTAATTAATCAACAATAATTATAATATAATAAAAAGAGAAAACTAAAGTGTTGGGCCAGGAGATTGAAGAGGGTCCCACACGGTTCCTAGTTGAATCCTAATACACAAAACACCAAAGAAAACAGTTACGATTTCAGATCTCAGACTGACAAGTGTTAAGAGGTGAAAGATTGATCGGCCTCACATAGACGGTTGTCCTAATCTTTGATCTTAAAACACAGAAAACCTATTTCTGATTCTTGACGCCAGATCGCATACCAACGTTGATGCTAGTTGGTCGACCCAAAATTTGTGCACGAGAAGACAAAATTTACCTTCGAACCATTGAACTAATGGCAGTCCTATGTGGTTGGAAGTTTTAATCAATACCTTTAGAACGAAGTTTTGGAAAATTGAGCTGTTTGAAAAATCTATTTTGATAATCTATTGATTACCCATTGTAATCAGGACAACAAAGATCCCAAGGTTTTAAATGTCGGATGTCGGGTTCATATCGGATGGCTGAAATCCATGTCGGATAGCAAAAATCGGGGATATATCGGGGGACATTGACTAAATATCGGATTGCCATATCGGGTAAGCGCATATGTATAATATCATATCCTAAATGTAATCTAAGCATTCATAAATTCAATATAAGCATACTTTATAATTTCTATAGACTAAACATATAAAAAAATAAATAATATATGGATTTGGGTTCATAAATTCTTTCTATCGGGTTCATAAGAAATCCTTAAACATGAGAACGAGTCAAACGAGTTTGGGTATTTATCAATAAACCCAAACCCGATAACAAAAAACAGACCTTAAAAAAAATATCATATCGGCCGATTTTTTAAAGCTAAAAAATAGGCCGATATGCTAGATATGACCCTGATATTTTCGTTTTGGCCCTGAAAACCGACATACAAGTTGAAAACGTCCATGTCGTGTGGGTCAAGCCCTCAAACCAATATGTCGGCCGATATGTCGGTCGACATGTCGGACATGTCAGCCGACATTTAAAACCTTGAAAGATCCTATAGAAATTAGTTTGACTCGAAAGCACAAAGATATCATTTAGACCTACATTGATCTATGACACGAAAAACCATAGATATTATACGACATGGGTATTGCTCAAACTGTACATCTATATTACCAAACCAACTCATATCATAAATAAACATTATTAAAAGCTAAAGAACACAAATCTAGATCAAAGCATGAATCTATTGCAAGAACTAAAAATTGGAACTTAAAGATTTCCAATATTTGATTGCTAGTATAAAGAACTATAATCTTGGGTCATTTCCACATTTCCCATATAAAACAAAATTAAATCAACCAAAGCTAGATCTAGATCAAAAAACATATGAAGAAATCAAATTTGAGATCAAAGAATCCAACTCTAGACTAACTTTGAGAAATACAAGGTCTGGAAAACACTAGCCTTGATTCCCTTGCATCGTAAACCATTATAGGAAAATGAAGGTAAATTTGGGTAAACCCGTTATAGACCCATTAAACCACTTGATGCTTTTGTTATGCTATGCTATATTAACCTAAAACCAAAAACGAAGCTATCAAGACACATCAGCATGCATGATCTATGATAAAAAATATCATATTCTGAGCATATAGAACTATCAATTGGCTTGTCATTAATTACAAAACAAATGCAAGGCCCAGTAGAAGAATCAATCCCAAACGAGAAATTCTTAGGTGCATGTGCACCATGAGCATTAAGTAGTATACACCATGTCAATAGAAATAGGCTTTGTGGCATACAATATCATATGACCCCCTCATTTATGATTATTTACAAATGGTTAATGCCACATGCCACTTCCTATTGGATTAGTGTATGCTATCTTGGTACTCATTAAGCACCTAAGAATTTTTCATCCCAAACACAATAAGATAGTAAATAACTATCAACTGGCAAAAAAATTGAATGCATATAGAACTCTAACTAATTAAGAGATCATGATAACATCATCATTAGATTTAGATTATAATGTATAACTAGACGTGAGATCATGAAAACATAATCCTAGATTATCATGTTTAGGTAGCCTTCCCTTAGCTCTTTTAGTTGATTTGCCTCCTTTTTTTTAAATCAAATTGCAATCAATATAAATGAACCCTTACCTTTCTACTTCATCCTACCACCCTTTTCTGCATAAACTTGAGCATGTTTTTTATCTGTTCCGAGTTACATTTTCAAGGCAAAATCCATTTAGAACAGAAGGAAAAGCAACATATTCATGAATCTTAAAATAGTTTAGCATCTAAAGAGCCTAGGAGAAGAGACGTGCATATCTATGCAGCAGCTAATATACTAAAACAAAACCCCTTAGTACACGTGATCACCTTTTAGTCAGTAGGCTGTTGATATTTGTACATTACGCTGTTCATCTTACATATATATTTATTATATTAGTACGTTATGCTGTGCATCTATTAAGTATTAACTCTATATTTATTATACCTTAAAACTAAAATAAGTCCATGTTTGCACGGCCTATTTGACTTCTCTAAGACTGCCTATTTTACTTCTCAATTTATTTTTGTGATTATAACGATTTTAGTTCCATTTCAACTGATGAGTCATTTAATTCTTTTTTCTTTCTTCCATTCAAGACTCATTTATCTCTTCACATAGCAGATTTCTTGAGCACTGCCTTTTTAACTTCTCTATTTATTTGTATAGACTCCTTTATTTATTTGTCCATTTTTTGCCCCTCGAGACTCACTTTGTCCTTATTTTTCTTTATTCAGTGACTTCTTTATTTTTGTACAATAAAACAGTTTTTTTGTTCAATTGAGGTCAATTTATTTCTTGCTTGTTCTTCGTTAGGCTAGGATTTGGGCATGGACTATTGGATTATATTTAGTTTTCTATTGATGTAGTTGATAACATCAGCACAGATTTGTTTATGAGGTAAATTAATAAAATTTTATTATAAAATATTCCTTCAAACTTATATAGTCTCTTACAACAATATAATGTTAGAAGATTTTTTATTCTTGAAATACACATTTTTATTTCTATAAATTAAATTTGATAAATAACATGTCATATCCACTTCCTGACATGGTATTTTCACAACAAAAAAATCATATTTGACATCCGTTTTCTCATTTTGATGAAAAATATATTTTAAAAAAACCCACTGCAACGCATGGGTATAGCACTAGTAATACCTATAAATGTGTGCTATGCTTTCTGTCATATAATTATCTATTTTAAACACAAAGAAAGGTCCAAAAAGATTGCTGTGGAAAATCAAAGGCAAGGATGCTGCTAATTAACCGAGTCTTATTATTGAAGGATAGAGTAAAAAAGAGGGAAGTGCTGATTTCAGACAGGAAAACAAAAATCTTGTTACAGGTTCAAGTCAACATATGTGCATATAGAAGAATCAGGTACATGATATTTCTAGCAAGAACCTACTTCAGGTAATATATGCATCGCCTATAGGAAGCACATGATTCATGTATTATATATCAAAATTGTATAATTTTTCCAGAATATTTAACCAATGATATCTAGTAAAAGAATAGCAGATTGGGTTATAAAAACCATCCTTGCTCTTGAATAAGCAAATCTAGTAAAAGATGAGACCTTCAAGGTTGTTGAGTAATTCCTGATTCCATTAATGCATCTGTAAACAAATCCTTCAGATGGGCATTTGTAGCTGCAACTCTCTGAGACATTATGTCAAAATCTCCTCCACTCCTGATGAGAACAGATGGTCATTGGTTGACCAAATAATTAAAGGAGATCTATATATTTTATAAGCATGCAGCGTATGCCCTCTCACATTTTAACAATCAGCACTTACGGATCAAAAACAAGACCACCAGCTTCTTGAACAATAATCGCTCCACCTGCTACATCCCTGAGACCATAGCAATGGAGCAAGATCTCAATGAAATGATTGGCATTACAAACTGTATAAGGTCATTACTCATACAAACTTACCATGGTCCACCAAATCCAATCATACAAAGGAGATCAGTTCTACCACATGCAATGCTGCAAAGGCTTAAAGCAAGAGAACCATTCATTCTAAGGGATCTCACCTGATCATAGCAGACAAATAGGATTTAGCCCTGGCAACAAGGTAGAAATAAGGTCAGAGCACTTTGAAGTTTACCTTGAATAATAGGCTGTTTATTTCATTAGTGGCAGCATCTACAGTGGATTTATCACGCTCTGATCCAACCTGTTCAAATGTTCACAACTACAGTAAATGTGACGAGATGGTATTCTAATAGCTGTTTACTAGTTCTTCTATGTGGAGGGCAATGGATGTAAGAAGACCAGAGTGTTGAAGATGAAACCATGGAGATAGTTTTCAGTGAGTAGTTGTAATGTCAAATCCATGCTATGGTTTCCGAATATGTTCCTATATAGAGGATACCATTCTGAGTAGCCAAAAAATATACGGTCCAATCTTTCTGCTGGTCTTTAGCTTATTTCTCACTTAGTAAGGATTAATAAGTACCACACACACGCTTTTGGCACTTAGTAAGGATTAATAAGTACCACACACACGCTTTTGGCACTTAAGTAAGGATTAATAAGTACCACACACACGCTTTTGACATCCCTTAGTAATATGCATAGGCTTACTACATACGCAAGTATCCTTTCAAATCTGAAGTTAAGCACTTGTGATTCTAGATTTAGACAAGCAATAAGGGGTTAATTTCCAGTGATGCAGATAACTGCATAATCAAAACTTTAATGTGTCAAAGGCACGTAAGGTCATTAAGTTCTAACAAAACATGTGTCCCGCCCGGCCTATGCAATCCTAATAATTGGGAACAGAAGAAAGCAGGAAGAAGAGTAGAATAAGAAGAAAAAAATTCATATGTTTGTGTCATGCCTAGATCAACGGCATCAAGCCTAGATCAGTAGCCTCACACCAAGATCAACGGCGTCAAGCCTAGATCAGTGGCCTCACACCAAGATTGAGGATCTCATACCAATAAGTTCTCACCTTTAAATGTGGTGTTTCATAACCAAGATTAAATCACCCCGATCTATAGAAATCATAATTTTTTTCATAACATCTTCAGAATAATTTCATTGAACATGTTGCTTTTATAGAAATAAAACTTGATCACCAAGAAACTGATCTCTAATAAAGAAGAAATATAATCATATAAAAAATTCCCTAATAATTATATTGTACAAGGATTCCTAATCAGTGAAATTTCATAATTACTAATTTAGTAATTTGTCTTTAGATAAAGCTACAAGAAAGCAGAGTTGAAAAAAATGCGCTATATAACCCATTATAATGCATTTTGCAACTTAATGGTGCCCTCTTGTTAGGTAACATGCCCATTCTAATCGCAGAAAAAGACATGTTACATTGCATTAAATGGGCATTACGTTATGTAACTAATTAACATGAGTTTTTTAGGTTAAATTGCGTCTATGATTAGGACGCGTGGATGCGTCACCACCATCGAAATTATTTGTACCCTATCCTTTTATTCCCAATACCTATATTCTCTTCCTGCGAATCTGCAATCTCTTGGCCTCCTCCAACCTAAACCCTAGCTCCTCGCCTCCTCCATCTCCTTCCCCTCTCGCCAGCAATGAAGCTCCACCTCGCCCCATCTCCTTTCGTTCTCCTCCACCTACGTCTCCACCATCTCACCACAAGACGCCCTAGCTCCTCCATCTCCTCCACATCACTAGCTCCTCCCCCGTCAACTCCTCTCTAACTCCTCTCAACAACGACGAACCCTCCCCACCTCCTCTCGACATCTCCTCCGTCTCTTGTCCCTCTCTAACTCCTCTTAAATCTTGATAGCGATGAACCCTGTTTCTTCCTCTGCAACTCCTCTAGCCCTGCTCCTCTGAAACTCCTCCAGCTATCAATCGCTTATGCGGACTCCAGTAAGGTAAAATTTTTATTTTTCAATTATGGATTGGGCATTTCAGTTTTAAGTCCTTTAAATGAATAGTAAAATCTAAAAATTACCTTCCAAATTTCAATCTTTTATATTGCCAATTTACTCTCAAAATCATATCAAACTTGTTGCTACTTTACTTTACCCTTCAACTTAATTTTTTAAGATTTGTCGTAGGAGATTAATTACTGGGTTAATTGTATTGTTGAGATAATTACTTTCAGTTATTACTTGATTTTGATTAGGCTTTAGTTCTCTGTTTTCAGTTTTCAGTTAACACTTGATTTTGTAAAATTAAGTTTGCACTTTGCAGTCACTATATATGCAAAACTTCTTGTTGTTATTACATAATCATTGGATGATGCTTTTTAGAATGGTTGTTAGTCATATATGACTTATTTTTTTTTAAGAACTTGTGATACTATATTTCTATATTTGATAATTGTGATGTTATGTTTCTTAGTGTTAAAGTTATTATGAATTGTTAGTACTTATAAAATATCTAAATAATTAATAAATAAATATTACCTATGTTATGCATGATGATTTTTGCCTTTTTTACCTTAACCCTTAACAAGAGGTCAAGTGTTACATAATTTATTTCATTATTTTTCAACATTGCAAGAAAGTTTCTACTAAAATCAAAAGTCTACGATTAGAAGAAACTCCAGTCACTTTTTCTATTCTTTCCCTCATCTTTTATGATTATCCAAGAGAAAATTGTTCTACATCCAATCCCCTGATTGAAAAAAACTCGACCTAGAGTTTCAAATTGGATATCCTGATGGGAACTTTCACTATAAGAGACAAAAGTTCTGTATGTTTGCTTTTGTTGAAGAGAAATCATCATAGATTAGGCTACATCTTTGCTTCGGTTCTAATACCAAATGATGGGGGGGATAGAAAAGCATGGAAGGAAAAAAAAACCTATAATGATGAAATTTGTGCAACTAAAGGTACAACAAGTCCAAAAACTACCCAGGATAATCTCCTTCCTCCACAGATCAAACGGAACGATTCATGCTTTTACAGTATCCGCTATGCACTTACCATCATCACAAAATCATTGAAAGTTCTTCCTTGCTCTTTATGGCAAGTAATAGTACCAATTTACCATCCTCGATAAAATAAGCTCTGATAAAGAGATCAACAGTGTCAATTTAAGATCAAAATAAGAATTATGTTTTACAAACTAATTTAAGAGAAGTGGTAGAATGGCAGATGGAACAACTCAGATGTACCTAAAGAAACATGAAATAAATAAGTGAAAGATCATCAGATGGCTGTTAGAAAGAGAAAATTGCCCTCAAGAGATGACTACAGAAAATTAATTAATGTTACCGACCAATGTTATAGAAGGCGCTAGGCAGACTAGGGGTTTGAGCGAACACCTAGCACCTAGACCCATGGGCGTACGCCTAGGCAACGCCTAGGCGTTTGACTATTTTTAAATTATTTAATTATAATAATTGATAAAAATATGTATTAAATTTATATAAATTTTCAAAAAAAGATAGCAATCTTAGTTTCACAATAAATCATGCATACTTAGATATTAAATAACCAAAATAATAATTAACAAGGATAGAGCCTAAGATGTTTTTTTTTATTTTTAATTACAATAATTGATAGTGAATGTCAACGTTATTGAAAGCTTAGATGTCGGACTGGTGTCTAGGCGGATTTCTTTCTTCATTTAAGTAGTGGTCGATAAGGTTTTGCTGAAGGTCGGAGGAGGTAGTGGAGGTGTTCATATTTGGAGGTTAATGGAGTTTGTAGGACGTGTAGGCTACAACACATAAAATCACAACCAATGCCTACAGGGTGCAATCCATGTAAGCAGACAATGCTCCCCTAAACGCTCGTAAAATCTAGGTGGATAGCCTAAATACCGCCTAGGCGCTAGGTGCTAGTTAGGCGGTCTAAGTACCGCCTAGGTATAGGCGTACGCCTAAGCGGACTAGGCGAAGGTTTTTTAAAACAGTGTTACTGACTCCAAAATTTTGGGTTACAGCTTCATAATAAACATATATTAAAGTGACATCAATATGGGAATCAAACATGGGAATATGCAATGCAATTTCAATGAGCATAAAATCAAAGATTAGCAGTATTCCAAGAAACAATATTATGTGAAGTTTGAGAACTATCTTCATACCTCTGTCACAAGCAGGGATTTCACCAGCTCAGATTGAGATGATGCTAAAAAATAATAGATTAAGTAAGGAAATAAAAATTCTTAAAAATGCTAAAAGAATATTCCTCCAGTGAAACTGTGGAACATTCCAACATCAAAAAATATTATACTGCTGACCAGAGATCTCTCACCTTTTATAGGATCCCCATTCAAGAAAGCACCTTGCCCTCGGATGCCAGTGAAAAGCTACACATCAGATTACAATGTTTTCAATTTAGTTAAACACTACATAAAACAAATTATGCATTCTCATTCCAGATATAAATCAGATAAAACAATTAGCATTACTATTTTTACATTCACATAGTAAATTGAAAGAGACCTGAAATTTTGATAATGTTTAAAATTTTAGCAGAAAATGTTGGAGTATGTTGGACAAACATTTTTTTTCCTGTATTAAGTCTGGTTTGTGGTAGCTAATATAATGGTCAATCCAGCTTATAAATCACTGTTATTGCACAAAAACATAATCTGTTGTCTTTAAGCACAAAAACAAGTCCATTTGGTATTCTGAGAGTTCAACCATATATAAAATGGAATAACCAAACAGAACCATCTGAAACTTAATAATTACTTTTGCAAAAAAATCCTTTTTCATAAATTTTAATAATTATTTTTGCAAAACAAACCCTCACTTTAGGGAATTTGCAAAAAAAACGTTCTCTCTCCCCCTTCCCCCACCCTCTACCCCCAATACATTTGCAAATTGCATAATGTGAGGGTTTCTTTTGCAAAAAATTAAAAAAAGGATGAGAAATTTTTTTTTTTTTTGCGAGAGGTTTGTGTCGTCAAAATTTATGGTATTTAGTGAGGAAAACAATAATACATAGTACTGGGGGTTTTGTGGGAAACATCCCAAACTATTGGGGGTTCTTTGGGAAACATCCCAAACTATCGGGGGTTTTGTGAAATTTTCCCTTTATAAGATAAAAATAATGATGAAGACTGAAACTACTTGGGTAATCTTGACTATAACTGAAACAAGATTTTTGTTAAACAAAGAGCAGGTTTACAGTTTATATATAATTTAAATCTTTGTATAGTGAGCCACATAGTATTAGCGCATCGATGAACAATAACCATTACTTATAGGAAAAAAAATATGGCACAATATTTATTCGTCACACCAGTTATCTGTAAAATAAAAAAGGGGAAAAAACTAAAGATGATTTTACATAGAATAGGTCTTTCTTCTTTTAGCAAGAAAATACACAATAACTTCTAAGTTGGAGCTAAGTATACATGTATCTCTTTTATCTGCTCATCAAAACTTAGTGCTTTCTGATTTTATTTTATTTCTCTCTACCCGGTACAATCAGTAGTATGCCTACCTAAGTTTTTCTTATTATTGAAGCACCGTAGATTTTTATTACAAACACGTGAAAATAAAATTATATATTGCAATATGATCAATAACTATCTTTCATCTTCAACTTCATAAAATTGCAGTAAGGTGAATCTCTTACTAATTACGATACAGGATTTCATTAATAAATTTGTTATCTATATTGTCATGTCTACTACTTCTACTTTAACATGTTTATCCAATTCTATGTAAAGTATCATTCTATATCATATATTTAAGAAATTGTCTGTCCAAATCAATAAAAAAATTCTTCCCGTGTCAAATGGGAAATTCCTAAAGCTTAGAAAATCATAATGCTTTCAACCGTCTAACCAACTTGACAACCGTCTTTTTAATAAATTGTTGATAAAAATCCTTTCTATAATACAAACATTTTAATTAAAAAGGAGAAGTATAGTGATCTAAATTATCTTTTGGACTTTTCCCAAATGAAATTACAAGGTCAACCGTAAGATAATAAGATGTTGTAGCATACAAAAACAAAAATATAAATAAATAGGAAACAAAATGAATGAAAGAAAAAAGTTCACAATTTTAACCTATTTTTAAAAAAGTCCCCCAAATCTCATATAGTTTATAAATCACCCAAATGTATAAATTCTATTAAATAAGTCCCCCAAATCTCATTTTTAAATTAGTCCTAAATATATAAGTTCGCTTAAATAAGTACCTCTAGCCTCTAGGTTGCTTAAATAAGTACCTCTAGCCTCTAGGTTAAGAATTGTTAACTCTAAATTAACTAAGCTAAATTAATCTTGCTAGTTTTTCCATGTTCTTCCCTAGATAGTTACACCTAATACTGGTAAAGAAGTGGAATAGAGGCTTCTAAACAAATAACAAGCAAGGGAAGAGGCAGAGAAAGAAAATATCTAGGAAAGTGGAGGCAAAACATGCCAGATAATGGACTCGTTTAAGAGAGCTTGCAGATTTGGGGGACCTATTTTAAACGCATGAGATGTGGGGGACTAATTTAGAATATATGAGATTTAAGGGACTTATTTAAAGATAAGGATTTGGGACCCATATAAGAAGAACCAAGAAGAAAATACCTCATTAAGTATTGGGTTGTATACAACACCAACTGTAGGTACCTTTCCAATTGTAAGACCAATGGATACACACACAAAGGGGTACCTAAAAGTAACTCAGTTGTATTAAAAGAAAGTGGTTACAAAAAATAAAAGGAACAAAAAATCAACATGACTTCAGAAGGAAGAAATTCCGCTTACCCGTGAACAAAGTTAATTGTTCCATCCAGGGGGTCAACTATCCATGTAGGATGATCAGTCAGCTCAGAAGTGCCACATGCTGCAGATGTTTCTTCACCTATAAACTACAATAACAAAATTATGCTGAAGGTTTGGTACAGTGAGGCATATAACTCAGAAGGTAAGATATTCACCTTATGTTCAGGGTAGTATTTTTTAAGGTGGTTGAAAATGAGATCTTCACATGCTTTGTCCGTCTCCGTCACCAAATCAACCTGCATTCAATGGATGATATTGTAATCATTATCTTTGTAGAACTACATATGGAGCTAAGTAGCAAGAGTAAGATCAACAGATATGTCAATAAGACTATATCCATTATTCTACAAAGTTAACCACCCAAATCCAGTTATCTTACTACTAGATGCCGTAAGAAGTTTAATTCATGTTATAAATATTTAATTTGTGCAATAATGAATTATTATATTTTTAAGAACAAATCAATATCATAAAGTGCCAAAACAAAGGATTTGCACCGCAAACAAGAAAATTCTGAAGGGATTGAAAGTCCTTTTTATGCAAAGCCTTTACATTCTAACACACTATAAACCAAAAGAAACCAAAGAAAAGTTTTGACATTATTTAGAAGTCACCAATTTAATTAAACACTTCAAACAGAGTGCAAGTAGTCCGATAAAAGCCCTGGGAGCTAAGAAGCCCGATATTGCGGCGTGATGCAATAGCATGAATTCACATTGTTAGAACAGTTAATAGAGCAATATTCGGAGATAGCTCCAAGTAAAGCGCACCTAAGACTAGTATGCTTCTCTTCGCCTCTTTATTTATCTATCAGATAATAAAAGTTCAACAGAATTGTGAAGAACCCATAAATTTCAGAATTGATTCAAAATTTTCTTAATCAACCTACAAATAAGTTCCAAATGAAAATTTTCAAATGATAAAGGGAAGATTGCTTTGGGGCCCCGGTTTATGAATTTGTGCTCCAAAGCCCCTTTGACTAAATTAACTACCAGAAAGCCCCTACTTTTTTGAAAATCTTGCTTCTAAGCCCCTATGTACCTTTGACATGAAAATCTATGTGTACCTTTTACAGTATTCCTAAAATACGCTCCCTCTCATGAACCCATTAACCCGTGAATCAAGTCTACTCCTCCTCAACCATTATGTCTTCGACCACCACCTCTGCCATGACATTCTCCTGTTCTTTCTTCTCATCCTTTCTTAAATCATTATATTTTCGTCACCACAACCTCTCCTTCGCAATTTCTCCTCTTTCCTCTACACCTTTAATCCCTGACACTTCACAAGTAGTGTCCTAAAATAAGGATTCAGGTAATCTATGTCCCTGCAAATCTGATTTCGTAAAAGTTCTTATGTTTCCTAAAACATTTTAGACCAGAAGCTGAAAAAAAAAGGAACGGTCAAAAAATCTTCTCAGCTACTGAGGCACTGAAACGAATATAAATTAACACTTCAAAAGGAAATATTAACACACTAAAAGCTAAAAAACAAATCCGTCCCGATGTTTGGCTTGATTTCTTGCACGTGTGATGATGGTTTATTGTGGTCACAAGCCCTAGTGTCATACTCTACTTTAGCTCCAATTTTTAACGCCAATTTAACTCTCAACAAGCGGTCATAATAAAAGACCCAAGCTGTCAAGCCATTTCATTTTCCACAAAAGATAATGATAAATCCAAATACTATATGCTGCCACCCTCCAGCTTAAAACCCAAATAGCTAAACCTTGGCACACAGTGACTGACAAATATCAATGAAAAGTAAAAATATATCTGTAGTTAAGCCCTAAAGTTAATCAATCTTTTCCGAACTTCAACCTTCCATTAGCATTTTAAATAATAATAATAAAAGACAGTAATTTAATTTTAAAACCCTAAAATCAAATTTCGTCCATGATTTGAGATCACTTTTCCATTTTAAAGCAGATTAGCAGCACAAGATTATTTTAACAATGAATATTAAAAACAAAAACTCCAAGACTTAAGCAGTTGCAAAAAAAAAAATCAAGGGATCACCTGTCCTTTGTGCTCCACATTCTTCTTCTCGTGAAATCCTTTACGAATAATCTGAAACATCCAATTAAAACCCATAAAAATCAAAACTTGAATGAAAAATTTGCAAGATCAAATTAAAACCCAATATTAGGTTTCAAATAACCTCTCCGGCGCTTTTCGCAGCATCCACGGCGACGGCGAGGAACTCCGAAAGGGAACCTAACAATTATCACCGTAAAAAAAATAATTCCTCAGCAGTGCTTGCTAAAATAAGAGTTTTTAATTTGGAAAAACATAAAGGAAAATGAGGTAAATTAAAATGGGAGAGGAGCGGTCGAATACCGTTGTCAGCCATTTTTCCGCTATTTTTTTCACGCTCCCTCTCCGAAAACGATCAAAGAAAGTAGAAAGCACGGTCATTGGTCATGCTGCTTCACTTATAAAGAGAGTTTGTACAAAAGGCCACTGATGTTATGAATAATTGCCGGAAAAAACCTTTTTTTTCTTTTTTTTTCTTTTTTTAAATGAAGTGGGTGAGGTCATAATTTTGTACCGCTTTAAAAAGTGTAGCTGTTTGGTTGTTTTCTTTTGCCCCTGATTCCTGTCAAAACTGACAGCTTGCTGTTAGTTTTAGCAGCTTTCTTACTAAAACGTCCTTTTTAGGGGCGTTTTGGCAAGAAAGCTGTCAGTTTTGACAGGGAATCAGGGGCAAAAAAAGCAAAACAAACAGCCCCTTATATTTAAGGCTAAATAGCAATTAATTACCTTATAATTTCACTCAGTTTGCCTTTATATACCCTCAATTATTTTTCGTAGCATTTATTTACGCTAAGTTGTAAAAAATTGGAACATTAGTACCTTCAATTATGCAAAGCTAAAAAAATTCACCAAAGTGTTCCTTTATATCATTCATATGCTAATTTTATAACTTTTTCACTCTTAAATTTTTTTTTTTTTTTTTGTTAAATCTATCCAAATTCTATATTTGAAATATAATTAGGATAGGTTGAAACTAGAATTTGGGTAGAGTTAACAGCAAATTTAATATATATTAATGGTTAAAAGCTCTAAAATTAAATGTAAATATTCTACAAGAACATTTTGGTGAAAATTTTTATATGCTTATAATAGAGGATACTAGCGTGTCAAGTTTAAACAATTTAGGGTCTGTAAATGTCACAAAAAACAGCTTACCTTATTTAACTGTAAAGTGAGTGAAACTATAAGGTGTTTAGCCAATACTTTATTCTTGCTTCTTATTAGGGTGTGACTTTGATGAATGTCTAAATATTTTAACTTTTTTCCTTGTCAAAGTTTTAAGCTCCCCATTTGCGTGCTTTTTGTCCTAGAAAAGCGTAATATACAAGCAAAAGTTTTATTGTGGGTAATCTTCTTGAAAACATTATAAGAGGATTTTAATTCCATGTCCTTGAGCTCGATTAAAGTTTAATTTTCGTTCAAGGTATTCATAAGCACCTCCTTGTCGGGATTCTAATAAATCAAATCAGGATACCCATCATGTTATGATAGGCACAAATGATGCTCGTGTACATGGAAGATGTACGAGACAAATTCTTTGTATGGTAATAGTAATAGCTTATTTCGCACCTTACGTTTTGCTTTTAAATGATCAGAGAGTAACACTAGGGACACACCCCCAACCACAATTCCAACCATACCCTCTCTCTCATTTGCTACAGTACATCAGGCCCCACATGTGATTTTAAAATATCATGTGGGGCCCGGTGTACTGTAGCAAATGAGAGAGAGTGTGTGGTTAGAGTTGTGGTTGGTATTGTGCCCCTATCATTTTCCAAATTACAAATCTTTTACTACTATACAAGGTAAATGACAGGGCATGAAATAAGAGAAAACATTCCGGAAACACTCCTTAGCTTGAATGAACAAGATCTGTAATAACATTTGAAGAGACAATAGCAAACAAAATAAAGAAAGACAAGGGAGTGATGAAATTTTGAATGAGATGAAAGGAGTTAAATACCTCTATGCAATTTTACCCGTGTTTGAATTTCTAGTTAATAAATTATAGATATCAACTTCTTGGGGCCGATGTAGAACTAACCTTCTATTAGGGGATACATAGTTTTTGTTTTTCGGCAACATATGCATAAAAAATTAATGACTCACTACTCACTAGGCCCCCAAAATGTGCATGGAATAGGCATAAACCGTTATAGATCCAGATTGACAGGATAAAATATTATACTGCAAGAGAGCACATCCACAAAGAAGCTTTTAAAAATCAAGAATACACGCTGCATATCTCAGAAGGATCATATTCCCTAGCCAATTATGAGCCGCACGCAAAATGCTCCTTGCCAATAGGATCATTTTCATGTCAACGCTTGCAATGATGGAAGAAAAAATTACAAAATGAGGAAAGTTCCATTAGATTGGAAGCTTCAATAACATTATCTGCTTTATGAAAGTGCGACATTGTACAAGTATCATGCCCAAGGGCACATGAGAAATTTAATCTTCGACAGAAAATAATTTACACGTTTTGCCGAGATCTTTCAAGGGTTCTGCCAGCTTACAGCGTGGCTATCTCATTGACAACTTGAGATTTGTCTGCTTCAAACTGTTCGTCCTCTGCAGATTATTGTGAATACAAATAGGTAAGCAAGAATATTGGCAGGCATTAAGTACATGGAGACGGTGTTATGTATTAGAAATTGCATGTACAGCAAAAATTGAATAAAGAGCCAAGAAAATGAATGCACCGGTGTCATAAAAAAATATTCTATCAGTAAATCACCTACCTTTGTCCAACCTGAAATCATTAAACAGGCGAAGGAGCTTGTTCTTGTTTGCAACTAATATCGTTACGATCTCAGGGGGTTTGTTTTGATTTGCAGCAAATAACTATAGAGAAACAAGAAGACATCATATAACTCCAAATTTTTGAAATTTTGATGTTTCACGCTAGTTGCAGACACACAAAGCATAGTACCTTGAATACATGAAATGCCTCGATTTGGATGTTCTTACTGGACTCCTGAAATTGGGAAAATATCAGTTAATACACCCAACTGGCCATCCCAAATATGTAAGGCATGTATCACATGTAAAATGCATCCATCACAGAGCAGAAACACAGTAAATGCTATGCATTATTGATAATCAAAGAATGGATTGAGACATTAAAAAAAAAAACAACCACATGTATTAGAACAGAGTATAAATCAAATGTATATATCAGAGACGCTCAGTGATATTCTAAGACTTGAAAGAAAAATCCTCCCGCATTTTACTGGAATATTAAAATGGTAAAGGAGCAAAAGACAAAAAATAAGATTTCAAACTTCTCCTTTAATTGAGAAGTTTGAGAGAAGATTAGCTTTATGGAAAGGAAAGTCTTTATCAAGAGGAGGGAGATTGGTTCTAGTTAATGTTGTTCTTTCTTCCATGCCTATTTTCTGGATGTCTTTTTTTTCTCTTCCTGGGTGGCTTGTTGATAAAGTTGATAGGATGAGGAGACGGTTTTTGTGGACTGGGTCTTTGGAACATAAGAATTCTTCTAATTTGGTTAAATGGGAGGAAGTGTGCAAACCCAAAAAGCTGGGTGGATTGGGAATTATAAATTTAAGAGTTATGAATAAAGCTTTGTTGGGGAAATGGATTTGGAAGTGGTTTGATAATAAAATGGAGTTTTGGAAACAGATAAGTTTTTACAAATATTTTGAGAACAGAAACTGGACAGAATATTTTTATTCTGGCAAGAGACTTTTATCTCATTTCTGGAAAAAAAAATTTAATAATGTTGAAAGTTTCTTGTGTAGTACTTGTGTTAAAGTGGGGAATGGAAATCAAACTCTTTTTTGGTTTGATAAATGGTCAAGTACAAATACTCTGGCTTCTTTGTTTCCTGCGCTTTTTCATATTGCAGAGTTTCCTTATGCTTCTATTAGCAGTTTGAGGAAAAAATTTAATAATGAATGGGTTTGGGATATCAAGTTTCAAAGACAGCTGACTGGAAATTTGGTTTTTTAATATTTTGATATGTTGAAGAGTATTATGTCTGTTAACTTTGTTCACAGGGAGGATAAAAGAATGTGGAACTGGGAAGCAAAAGGCAAGTTCACTGTTAAATCATATTATCATTTTCTTACTGATAGAGGAGTAAGGTATGCGTATATCAATCTTTGGAAACTCCCTGTTCCTTTAAAAGTGAAATTTTTGGTTTGGTTGGCTTTAAGAAATGGTTTAAACACAAAAAAAAATTTGGAGAAGAAAGTTATTCATACAGATATGATGTGCAGTTTTTGTTCTAAGGAAGAGGAAAATCATTTTCATATTTTTGTTAAATGTGAGTTTGTATACTCAATTTGGAGATCTATTCAACACAAAATGAATATTAGAAAGGATTTTACTGTATACTCCTTAAAAGAAATCTGGAAGAGTTGGAAGGATGAGGAACAAGTTAATGGGAATATAGAAAGAGAAGTGATTATTTGTTCTCTTATTTGGTGTATTTGGCAGGAAAGAAATGATAGAATTTTTACAAATAAGAGGAGAAGATCATTAGAACTTTTGAATAAAATTTTGACTTTTGCAAAATTTTGGATAGGGTCACAGATTTCTGACCGTGCAACTAGATTACAAGAGAGGAGGAGAAAGAAGGCTGCTGCAAATGCTGAGAGGGCTTCGGTTCCTGTGGTGGGGGTGATAGACTTGCTGGAATGATAGTTAAGCTGGAAGTTTTTTGTGATATATTTTGTGGTTTAAAATTGAAAAACTTGTATATCAGTTGGTATTGGGTTATAGTTTCTGATATTTTGTTGCTAGATATCAGTAGGAGAGAAAGACTTGGTGAAGTTTCTTACTTTGTAAAACTGTGATGATTTAGGGTACTCATTCTTGGTTGGGGATGAATGCCTTTTTTTGTACCAACCTTTTTAATTTAGCTGGCTGGATTACTACTTTGGTAATCCATCCTTTCTCTCAAAAAAAAAAAAGATTTCATAAACCGCATTATTATTATTTAGTTAGTGAAAATTTATCACAAATGCTATGAAGAGAAGATAACTCTAGACAAGTCATGGCAGGCCGAAGTTGGTTAGTAGCCAAGGGAACTATTGATGAAGTATTATGATACGCTGAAGATAATAACTTTCTCAAACTACTGCTCTAAAGTAAAAGCATGTTATACTGAGCTTAAAGTCTATTGGATGAAGTATGAGAGCCAGAAAATAATAGCTTTTCTCAAACTACTGCGCTAAAATAGAAGGATGCGATACTGAACTTAACATCTATTGGATGAAGTATGATATGCTGAAAATAATAGCTTTTCCCAAACTATAGTGCTAAAATAGAAGCATGTTATACTGAGCTTAATGTTTATTGTCCGTCTCTCAAGAACGTTATTGTGAGCTTAAGTTTCTTATTCATGACCTGTAGGGTATGAAGTACAACACCCAATAACACAATGTCCCGAAATGAATATGGTTGCTTCTTTCCAGTGTGTTTCACAAAGCGAGCAATGGACCCATGCTGATCCAGAAAAGGAGCACTATTATTAGAAACTTGACGTAGTACACTAGCAAGCAACATGCATGTTAATGCCAAAAGTCCCAAGTCAAAACCATTAAGTCCTTAGATGCGTTTTGACGCCCAAATGGTGCTTGCTACATGGAAGAGAATAGTGTAGTTGCCCTGAGATGTGATTTTTTTAAGCCACCCTTCGAACATATGTTTCATTTTTCTCCAATTACACATAAATTAGTGAGTTTAGAGATGTGGAACTCAGTGTATATAATGCTGTTCTCCTAAACATTGAATAAAATAGAAGAAACAACTATTTTGCTAAAGATAGATCATTATTTTGAGACATAGGAATCATGAAAAGTAATGGTGCAGGTAACTCAAAAGATACACCATATCATGCAAGTGGAGAAGATCTCACACCCTGAGAAGGTTCATTAGGATCATCAAGTTATCCTTTGCGCTAACATAGCGCATCATCACTGCTGAATTTGATCGCTCTAGTAGTATATCCCCCAAAAGCTGAAATAAATAGTAAAGTAATTAGATTAATCAGAGTTTTAAGGAAAACAAGGTTACGTTTGATAGTGCAAAAAAAATATTTAATGAGGGTACAATTTAAGAGGTTTTCAAAAACCCAGTATCCTCATTTTGTGTGATGCACTTCAGATGCTTGTGAGAACAGACGCAGAAAACTAAATCAGTTATTTAAGAGCTATGATTGAGCAATAATTTAATCCCTCTGAACATAAAAATTAACATGGTGAGTACAAAAGAAAATACAACCTTGATTGCTTGCCTTCTTGTGATGTAATTGGGAGATGACAGCAGCTTTGAATTAAATTCTGGAAAGAACTGCAACACCAACAAATAATTGAAATGAGAATAGCATTCTGATAATCTATCAAATCAATTTGATACAAGAGCACAGAGAAAACAAAGAGAAATTAAAAAGCAGACCATTTCAAACAATGTTGATATCATGATGAAGCCATAGTTACTGATATCATGCACCATTACAAATTTTCAACTAAATGTAAATGCTTCATATGATGGTCATGCTTATCTGCATTGCAGGTCACACTTACTTTCATTGCTATTTTTTTATTCGAAAATGCATGTTTTAGCTCAATTATATAGCAAGAAATAGCTGGTTATATCATATAATTGATAAGTATATGTCATATGTAATAAATTTGAAATACATATTTTAATGTGTAAGGTGCATAACTAGATGTCCATAGACCCTGCATCCTTTTCTATGAATTTTAAAAATAAGTTTTGTTTACACCAGGAAAAACACTAATACAACTATATTCACAGTTCACAAGATGTGGGTCAGGCACCTACCCATGGTAAAGAAAAATATACATGACTTGCATAGTTTTAAGAACTTAGATTAAATTTCAACAAAACCATAGCATATTTGTTTTGCATACAAGTAGGCAAGTTACTTTTCACATATTAATACATATACTTATGGTTGAGAAATGTTCCAAGGATTAAATTAAAAATCCGAGATGGCTGCCTGAATACTCATAAAATGCATAACTGAAATGTTATATGCAATCATGGTTCAGTAACTATTAAAAACAAGGGTAATGACTTCTCAGAAAATGGAAATAAATGGTCAATTGCTAATAGAAAGGCGGTCCTGGTCCCCTACAAGGCTAGCTGCTAAACAAAGGAAGAAGTGCTTTATGTAATTGCTGGTCAAGCATTCTACTGAAGAACTTAAAGGAGCAGCACAGTGCGTTGTTGAAGCAATAGATGTATAACACAACACATACACGGAGAAAGCTCAGAGACATATATGACTCGCTCTAGAATGACCAATAACTGCAGTTCATTGTGGGGAATGCAAATTCTGATTTACTCAATCCCTGTTTGTTCCTCTCATTATGCAGATAGTTAAGAATGTAGACTAAAGAAGAATATGGTGTGTATACCTCTGTAACCAACAGGGAAAACTACGAAAGAAGCATAAAGCTTGTTGCATGGAGGACTAGATTATCCTACTGATATGAACAAGAAGTTTCAAAATAGCTTGATTCATTTATGGCTATCAATGCTCTGTACCCGTCAACATTTATGATATTGGTGTGCAAACTGATAAATGCCTGTCATCTAGGAAAAATTCATAGGTGCTCATGGAGCACCTAAGTGCCTACACCTCTCCTATAGGAGAGGGGCATGTATCACTAGAGGGGAGAATGTGATGTCACATTCTCCCCTCTAGTACCACATGCCCCTTTCCTATTGGAGGGGTGTAGGCATCTTGCTTGCTCCATGAGTAGACAAGAATTTCTCGTCATCTAGAGCCTAAATGCTATTCAAAGAGCCTAAATGCTATTCAAATGGCATTACGAGAAAAGGTATTGTGACAGAATGCGGAGGATGCGCTAGAGTAGCAATGTCATCGCCACGATCATTGTTAGCTGGTTTGAAGTTTCATATAACCTTCAGAAACTTCTCTTAGAAACTCTAATATTAGTGAATACACAGTATTATTAGGTGAAATGCCTAAATTGCCGATAAAAACAACAAAGCAACCACCAAAGGGATTGCCCTCATATCTGAAGCTTTTAAGATATAATCTAACAAGGGGGTAAACAAAAAGGAGCATCTAGTTTTGCTATAAACTGTTGTTTGAGGACTGTGGTTAAGTCAGAAAAATGGCAGCTATGCCTCTATTTACTTCTGTATCCAATATCATTTAGACCTTCCAAAACTCGAAAGATCTACAATCACTTAGGAGCCCTGCATAGTCCTAATCATGCATCCAGATTTCACATGACCTTACACAGTTCCAAACCAGGGCCCTTAAAATGGTTCCTCTTTTAATGAATATATTACTCAAAAAAACCCTAAGTTTGACGGAGAATAAAATAATCCTCAGTGTATTTCATCACCAACCACTTAAATGTCATTAAACCTCCAAACCTAAACAATAAATAACAGATACCAAGTTTGACTAACATAATGATGTGATTTTCTATCTTGCATGGTATTGATAAAGTAAATTTCACTACTAAGTAACAAAGAATTAACAAGTTATAAATTTAATTTTTATGGGTCTTCGCAGGTTTATAGACAATAGGGGGCATTAAGTGCTGCCAGAAAAGGGTTGTGACTCTTATTTCATTCTAAGTTTAGTAACATAGATCCTTGACAACTTTATCAATTAAAAAAGTTGCTCTGGACCTTTTGGTGTTTGCCTTTCTGCCCCTCAACTACGAAATGATAGATTTGACTAAGGTTAATGGTTAAATAGGGTTCAATTGAGTTTGTAGTTAGGGTTATGGTTTTAAAGGAATTTAAAAGAAATGAAGAAAATAAAAAGTCATTTCCTCTCCTATCTCTCTCTCCTTTGATTCAAAAGAGAAAAATAAAGAAGCCCTACATCCAATCTTGTCCCAGTCCCCATCCGCTCGGATTAGCAATCTTCGATCAGCCACCACTCACTTATCCAATCTTACATCACCTTTACCTACAGATTCAAGAGATCTTCTCTATTTAGCTCAAGTTTGCCCGATCTTATGCTTTTCTTTTCGTTTCTTGATTTCTAAAGTCTAGCAAGAGTAAAGCTCTGACCTTTTTAATCTTTTAGGAATTTTTGGTAGATGGTTTATTACAGTAAGCACATATCTTCTCTCATTCTTGATCATCATAACGCTTGCTCCAATGGCTCATTCACAAGATCCTCCGCCCATCTTTTCAAGTGCCCTCAACTTCCATCTTTTAACACAACCACTCATATCTTCACACATCTCTCTTCTACCTATTGGATGCTCTTTAAATATCTCTTGATTTGTTTTAAGTCCCGACGATCTAAGATCATTCTCCACTGCTCTCAACCATGTCGACAACTTTAGAAATTTATAATCTTCTGATGAAAATTTTAAACTTTGATTATATTTAGATGATTTTTTTGTAGCATATAGATTCATCGGATAAAAATCTTGAGATTTCATGGAAGTTCAGCAAGGCTAATAAAGAAAGGGCAAGTCCATTCAAAATTTAAGTTTTATTCATTCTATCATTTTTATTTATTCTATGAGGTTGTAATTAGAGAATTTAACAAATAAGTGGATAATTTACTTGGCTTTGGATCTCTTTTCATAATTTTATTGGAACAAAAAGGGAGTATTTTACGGAATACACGTTCCTAGGAGTGAGTTAATTTTCCATTATCTTAAGAAAAAAATTTGTCCATAGAAAGCTATTTTCAAGTAGGATCGTAGTGCTCCTTATAAATTAAGAATTGGAGAGTGGCTTCAATTCTTTGCAATTTTTTATAATTTTTAGGTTCTTTGGACAAGCTTCAATTATTCATAAAGATACATTAATATTTTAATTAATCACTCTTAATTATTGGCCATTCAACGTTAATAACTTAAATTTACATTGTATATTTCTCTCAGTCTGTAATTCATTCTTTATGATAGGAGGATAATATTAAAATCTCACGAGTAGCATAACTTTGTTTATAAGCCATGTGCAGTCGCACTTTTTTTAGCACAATCCCCAAAGCTTTGTGTTAAAATAAACAAATACTTTATACTGTATATATTACCTTCTATTGTAAAAATTTGGTGATTCTTTTTGTTCTATAATTAGAAAATTCTTGATCACGTGACCCTTAATTTTCTTGTATCTTGGTTGCTACTTAGATTAATCGGACACATGCAAACTTAGTGTACTGGATTTACACTCTTTGGAGACAATTGATCAAGACTCACAATTGGACGGTAATCAACTATTTGTTTATATTAGTTTTGTCTTTAGCTACGTCACATTTGTTTATAAATTATAACAAGAGAAAACTTGATGTTGTGTGCATACTAATATTTTGAGAAAATGGTAGAGTATGAATAGACAATTTCTTTATAGAATCTAAAATTTCTTTATTTTTATCATTAATGTTTCATTTTAGTGATCTTCAAATCGAACTAATCAGTGATAGTGGTATTCGGTCCTTCAATTCTTAAATTATTTAGGAAATTAGTCACTCAAATCATTGAAATTGCTATAGGGTCCCCTAATTCTCATTAGTAGTTTTAAGTCAATCTCTCTGATCGCTTGATGATGTGGTCCTAAAATTTAATTTTGATTGTCAATGCCCGAATTATTTTTGTGCTCATATCCATTTCCATTCTCTACATCATTATGTCGCAGTAAAGTTGTAGGGTTATTATATTTTGTTATTTTGTCATCTACGATGGTTTGTTTCTAAATTTTGAGGAAAATTTAGAATTTTAGAGAAAAGATGGAGAAAGGTGTAGAAATGGGTCGTACTTCTAATTCAAATTTTTAAATAATATAACATTTCAACTATTCATGGGAAATTGAATTTAGAAATAAGTAGCCTAAAACAAAGTTTAAAAACATTTGTCATTCAATCTCGAGGTTTTTTTTCAAATGGGAGGTTCAATCAAAAAATTTTGATTTTTATAAGATAAGTAAAGCATCTTATTTGTACAACTTTTGGAATTAGTTAGACTGGATGATTTATATGAGTATTCATTGAATTCAATGTTTGTTTATTAGTTTACAAATCTATTTACATGCCTCTTAGTTTGCAGATCCAAGCAATGTAGATTTTGGGGACGGATATGACTTTGGATCCTGTTTTGTTCTGAGATTTACAATCTAGATCTGATAAAGTTTAAATCAGCTTCGAGCTCTCTTTTTTCCATTATTTATTCTTTTGTTTGCTTCATTGGATTATTTGAATGTTTTGCTGGTGAAATACGTTATGTTACTTTATTGTTAAGTCGATGAGAAGAATCGGTATGCATTTTCCTTTTGTTATAATGATTGATTTTTGGCGATGAATTGAAGGGAGAAGTTAA